TGTACGTGGAAAGACAGTAATCCGTATCTAGACCGGGGGAGTTTGATCCACAATTGGACGCTAACAGATTCGACTGGCTTGGGGGTCTCTGGTACCGGTGGAACAATATGGCGGAGCAGAAACTATCGACGACTTTAAGTTGATTTAGAATTTCTGCTATTTTTGATCAGTGTAATTTTTCACTGTGATTAAACTATTTAATAACAGTTCTTTGGCTATTGATTGTTGGAATTATTAAATCTATTAAACAGTAGTTGTTAGTTGTTAATAATACCTTTAGTTAGGTAACCAGGTCTCAGAGGGGGTGGTAGATGTGTAGATATCGACTGGGTTGGCCCACGGTTAGTAATTTGTACGTGGAAAGACAGTAATCTGTATTTAGACCGGGGAGTTTGATCCACAGCTGGACGCTAACAGGTTCGACTGGCCCTGGAGGTCTCCGGTAACGGTGGAACAATATGGCGGAGCAGAAACTATGGCGACTTAACCCTTTCACTCCGAAGGACGTATATGCAGAATGTTTTGTAATTGGTAGTACAATCGGGTAAAGGGTGATTCTACATGAAAAAAATGTGTCGAAAATACAAAAAAGAATTTTTTCGTTTGAGACTTCGTTTTTGAGAAAATCGATTTTGATCCTACAAGGGGTGTTTCCAAAGTTCTGGAAATTGCGATCTATAAACTATATTGAAAATAAATTATATTGAAAAATTACAATGTAATGTGGACGAAGATTGATAAAATAAACAATTTATAACACAATTCCCAGAACTTTGAAAATATCCCTCGTACATTGGGTAAGATGGTGAACTTGTCATTTTCCCAGAATTTTACAGTTGTTTATATATTTTACAATAAAAACACTAACAATGGAAAAGAAAGAAAATAAAAGACAAAAAAAGTATCGGTACTATTATGTATTCAGGATACGATGAATTCTATACAAATCCTCCTTTGGAAGACTGGATACAGTGTTCCAAATACTTAAACTGGTAGTATGAATTGTAAGTATCGAGGAACTGCATTATTATTCATATATCAAAAATAGTATTCATAAAATTAATATAAATTTATTAATTATACTCACAAATTAGTTTTCAATTTTATATTAAAGATAATTGTAAAGTAGAATATTATTTACGTAAGTAAAATATTATTTTTTTGTATAAGAAGTAAAAAAATTACTTGTTAGTTTCGGTTAGTATCTCGATCTTAACCCCCTTCGCCCCTACGTTCTTTCTTTTACATAATTTTCGTAGAGAAAACGCTATTTTAGCATATCTCACCGTTTAATTAGTAGCGTCCTCCGGAACCCTTTAAACGGAGCAAAAAGCACGACGCCCCGGCGCGTCGAAATGCTCGATACGAGAATCGATGCAGCGGCTAATGCACGCAGCTGCATCGTGCCGTGCAAATAAAGTGCATCGCGTAGCCTGCGTCAAAGAGAACAGCTGAGCTGTTGTGTTGCGCCGAGCAAACGGAGGGAATATACACGTGAATCGATTATATGTATCGCAATCGTGCTCTTTTCTCCGTACTGAGTACGTTTATTGCGCGTTTTATTAAACGGTGGACAAATTGAAGGATCGAAATATATATTTGGACTCCAAAATCAGAGTTTTCTAAAAAAAGACATTTTACATACACTACCTTCAACATTTTATATTATACATACAATATCATTTTTTTCATCCTCCAAATGGTCTTTATTCATTCATTGTCCTTTTATTTATTGTTCCGTCTCCTTCGAATTTCTTTCGCTCGTTGGAAAACTCTGGCGGACGAAATACGGTTTCATTCTTGATTCACGAATTAAAAATTGTCGCATTATTTCGAGCGTTTCACTGATACACATCGGCGACGCGATCGGGGATTGATTACGCGTGAAATTACTTTCGAATTAATTCCTTCCGTAGGAAATCGGGAAAAAGAGAGCGCAAATAGGGCGAGAGTCCCGTTTCGCCAATTACACACAGTTCCGTTCGGCCAATAAATTCGAAGTCGCGGTCGGAGATTTACTGTTTCCCCCGATGAAATATTTCCCCGTTGTTCGTGGAAATCTTTCGACCCTTTATCTCGTAAACTGTGTATCGCCCAAAGCAGTGGAAATAGTTGCATCTTCGCCTGGAATCGCGTAACGAAGCGATCGAAGACGATTGGTGAAGGCCAATCGGAGCGTGTCAGATCTGATAATATTCTTGAAGAAAGTCAAATTGTCGTTTACTAAAGATGGATTTATTAAATTCGCTACTCGAAGTATATAATTAAATTCATCGTTTCGATGAAGTACAGAATACTCGGAATTGGTCGAAAGATCGCGTAAAAGCAATTAGCTGAGATGAGGAAACGAAATGGAACAGAATGGAATTCGAGGAATGAAGTGGAATTTAAGGAACGTAATGGCATTCAACGCTAGAAATACTGGCATTGAGTGTGTATACTAAATTAAATTGCATGACATGGTAATATACAGTTATGTCAGGTTTAAGTGCATAAAATCAAACAGCTTTTATTGAATTCCGTAACTAGAAGAAGAAACAATGATAAGGTAATCTAAGGGAGTTTCTACTTTTTAAGCCCACTCGTGCACTGTTCAATAAATTGTTGCATTACTATTCCTTGGATTAACCCTTTATGTCCTGACGATACTTTAGAATTCGACCAGGACTTCTTAAGTACATATTTACTTGTTCTTTGACGTCCTCTGAGGTGCTGTAAAATAGTCCCAGTAATTAGATACATCATATATATTTAGCTATTTGAATAAAACAATAAAAAAATCAGGTTTGAACAGTATCAAGTATCTGGAATAAATATTACGGTAAAAAAACAACAGTAATATAATTAAAATCGTATTAAGGAAATATACTTACGTGTCGCTTGATCGTTATTATGTAAACTACTGGTGTGTCAAATTAGTTTATAAGTTTTATTGATAAAAAGTCTAATGAACAAAGTAAATAGATAGAAAAGATACATATAAATGCCTTGTTTCAGCAACGATAGATGTTGATATCGGGGAACTCACTGTATCACGTTGAAACCACTCGCTTCTTGCTTTCTCCCAACAGAGACCACTGGATCAAAAAGGATCACGGTACGAAAGAGCTGATTGAAATCTGGGAAGGTAGTCGTTTATTTCCCAGTTGGAAACGTTGCTTGCCTTCTCGACACCGCTGCATCTCCTGGACCCGTTCGGTCATATTAATTCGTGGGAAAATTCGATCCGTGTTGCCCGCAAGCTTTTTGTCCCTTCAAGGCGAGACCTCGATTCCCAACGAGCTTTTCAGCTTTGATTGAAAAACGTAAGGTCTTAAGGTTCTCTGTCTGGCGCCCTGTGTTGTCATCTCTTAAAGTGGGGCGATGGTAGATCCATTGACAATTGTGATGGGCGTTTGAGTTCTCCATTTCGAAGCGGTTCAAGGTTTATCAAGGGTTATCGAATATATCTCGATACTTAAAATTCTTAATAATAAATCTTAAATATAATTAGTACTGTGTTTTTAATGTTTCGATAGGTCCTGAAAGTCTTGGAAATCATGGAAATCTTGATAGTCTTGAAAGTCTTGGATAGTCTTGGAAAGTCTTGAAAGTCTTAACAGGCTTTCAGGGGTTGAAAGTCTTGAAAGTCTTAAAAAGCTTTGAGGGGTTGAAAGTCTTGAAAGTTTCAAAAATCTGAATAGTTTTCGATTCCTCGAAAGTTTTGATAGGTCCTGAAGGCTTGGTGAATATTCAGTAACTTACTAAAGAATTCAGAATGCTGTTGTCCAAGCAAGTACCATTGACATAAAATTTTCAAGAAAAACTCGAAATATTTAATTGTTAGTACGTGTATACAAACAATCTCAATCTTTCCAGTCACTTCAAAAGTTGTATACCTTTCATTGTTTACAATAACAAGAATAAACTCGGAAAAAAGTATGGAACGTCACTTTAATTCTCTTTGAAAATCGTTCTAGACCGCGCCAGTGGGCACGCAGATGGACATTTTACTTTTAATTACTTAGCCGGTCGACATCCAACTTAAATAGTAATCGAAGCTTCTCTCGTTGGTGTTTGCGTGTTCCGAAATTCCAGTGGTCGGACCGTGAAAACTTTCCAGGTTGGGGATCAATGGGAATTTCTGGTCGTGTTGCCTGCGACCTCCGTCCGAAGTTGCAGAACGAAACGCTCTCGGGAACTGTGATTGCGGACGGACTTAAATGCTGCCTCCGATGTGGTTGCGCGAGGCTTGCCCCCTAGTGTTTCATGTGGACTTAACGAAATCGGTTCCCTGGACATCGATAACAGACTTTAGCCCGTTGTTTAGTCATATTATTACACATTCGTCGTTGAATCGACAGAGGGAAATAGAAAAATCAAAAGAAAATCTGAAGTATATTTCCTTGACTTCCAGTTGATCGCAGTCAAGTGACCATGAGACTTGACTTTTGGTAGCTTTTAAGAACGTAACAAGCCAGGATAGTCGAAGAAAAAGTAAATACTGCTCTGACTTAAGAAGCAATATTTTTTCTTTCAACCCATTCACACTGGTGGAATTTTGTTCTGGAAACTTGTAATCATTCGATTCCATCATTCCAATAAAAAAAATATATTTTTCAATATTTAAAAATTTCAATTGTTATAGCATAAGGTATTTTATTTTTTTACACGACGAGTGTTATACTTGTTACCCAAAAAGTGGTAATTTCCTCATGACATGATGATACTCGTCGAACACCGTTAAAGAGTTAAGTGGAGGTTCTGGTCCAGAATCCACATAAAAAGAAGTTGCAATCGATAACTCTTTTCGATATAGTCATCCCACTAGTTTGAAGTTTTTTACACGAAAAAAATGGTATAGAATTTGTTTGACTTATCGCTCATCGTTGAGAATCGCAAAAATAAAATCTGTTCGAAATAGCCGGACAAAAACATTGCGAGTACAGTGTAGCCAAGTTTTAACCCATAGTTTCGCCGCTATTGAAATGTTTATAATTTCTGAAATTTTTCTTTTCCAGAACCGTACTGCCGAATAACGTTCGACGGATGGTCCTGTTGGCCAAACACCCCGGCTGGAGCAACTGCATACGCGCCATGTCCGAATTTCATCACCGGCTTCGACGCCTCATGTAAGTCTGCTTCCATGTTTTGTAATTTCCACTTAAGTAGATCCTAGAAACTAATTTAGATTCAACCAAACAGGGAAAATTGTGGGTAAAACAGTGACCTACGTATTCGTTCATATACTTTCCAAACTATAAACAAATAACTAAAACAAATTTTTACGCAAACTCTATTTATATATCCTCATAATTGTTACTTTTACCATGGGTTTCGTGATAAATTTTTGCTGAACTTTGAAATAAGATTCGTCGGTCAGTACATAATCTCGTGAAACAAATAATATAACAGCCTTCCATGAACAAATCTGTGAGTCACTAATAAATCCTGGAATAGCCTCCGCATTAACAGTCTCATGTAAAAACATTTATTCAGTCTATACATTTGTATATAGATAATCTGCATAATTTCTGGATATAGTAAACACTGTTAAAATGCATACAAAAATATAGTATATATAGTAAAAAATACGTTTCAGTATATTTTTCTTTTTACAAAAATCTGAAATCTTTTTCTGTAATGAAAAATAAAAAGGAAATGGATCGGAAAAAATCATACTTCAGAACATTCTTCATGCAGAATGTAACCATTTGAGTCAGTTCGTTTGTTAGATGTGTACCTCAAGCATAATGTATCAGATGACTAAATCACGACAACATCGAACAGTATCCATCGAATGTACAATATTACTGTTTCCACGTAATTAAAAATGCCAGTCGTTTTTATCAGCGATCATGCTTCATGGACAGAGTCGACAAGACTTCGGTCCAACCTACATACATTCAAAACCAAAATCGCCCTCGCTCACTTTATTCCTCTTATCACAGATGATACTCTTGACCGCTGGATGGTCATATTCGAAGAATATCTTCACCAGACTGTCATATTGATGAACATTTTCCTTGCTCGTGACTGGTGTCAGGAGTTGCACGGCAATCAAAGTCGCCTCTGGCGATCCAACCTCCGTCAGTCCCTCGATCACGTTCAACCTCGAGGTCTCCTTGTTATCGCCGATAAGGGATTTATTGTCCAGGAATTTCGATAGAGTGTTGGCCAGAAAATAATGGAACATTGGGGTGTAAATGTCGAGCAATTCGGGCAACTTCGTACCAATCCTCTTGGCAAACTCCTTGAGCGTTTTCGAGGACGCGTACTCGTTCATGTAAACCAGCCCTAAGTAACTGGTCGGGTCCATTAGTGGTGTCAGGACAGTTAGGAACGCTTTTAAGATCCCGTTCAGTAGCCTCGAAAGCTTTTCCCCGTGTATATCAACATAGTAAACCTGATCGATGAACCTACGTAGCGCGTGATTCACGGAATAAAAGTGTGATCTGTCCTTGCACGGCGCGTTCCAGCCACTCCTAATCGTCTCCACGAACACCTCTGTGAAAGTGTTCATCCGTGACTCGAACTTCTCCGCGGCTGGTATCAAGTACGAGTACAGCGCGAACGCCGTAGCTGCCATAGATATCGGTGTTTCGGGGTTGAACAAAAACCTGCGCAGTAGCTCCTCGTTGAACTCCTCGGACAAAAGGTGGCAGACGCCCGGATTGATGTTCGACAGCATTCTACCGTACACATGAGGTCCCTGCTGTAGTCTGTCCAACGCCTTCAGCGTTAGCTTCAAGAAATCCGATAAATATTCGTCGCAGACGTTCGGGATCATCTTGATCACGGTATTGATCGTGTTCTCGTTCTTGGCCGTTAACGTGCCGATCATCTCGCTGATCAGATGCCAAGTAGCTGGGCCAGACTCCTTCGCGAACATCTGGCTGGCCTGGGCGAACAGGATCTCTTGGATCGAGTAGTGCTCGTCGGTCTTCCATTGGTGGAGAATGAAATCGTGAAGCTGATCACGCGGAGCGACCATGTACATCACCCTGACCCCGTGTTTACGGACGGACACTCGTTCGGTGGATAGTTTCTTCGCGAAACCGATCACGCTCATCAGATTGGTTCTTCTGCAGAGATTCATCATAGCCGTCAGACCCGTGGATAGATAATCTCCCTCGCTGAGTTTGTACAGCAGCGATAACGGAACCGGTGGATTCGCGAGCTTCATACTACTGACCACGTGATTGATCAGATTGAATTTGTCCTTCGCCGATTCGTCGTGAATGTCTAGAGTTTTGCTCGTAGGGATCAGAGGTGTGAGGATACGGGCTATCGTTTCACCGTGAACAAGCAAAGCTAGAATGTCCAAACTGGGGCCTTTTTGCTCGTTCGCCAGGTCCTGGAGGCATTGTTTCAAGAAACGAACTGGGATATCTTTGTGCCAACGGACCAGTCTCACCCAATGTCTCGTACGTTTACGCCAGCAGTTGGCATAGAAGGCATTCAGGTACTCTTTCCAGTTTTTGGAAATGCTCTCTGGGTCGTTCTTCAACAAACGGAGCGCCGCGCCCGAATCGATGTCCACGATATCCTTCTTCTTCGTGCCGTAGAGACGCACGAATATATCATTCTCGTTCTTCTCGAAAGTTTGCCCAAGGTTCTGGATGATATAGAAGTTACGGTCCTCGTTCTTGGATACGATCCTCTCGACCGCCTGCAGCAACCACGGGTAATTCTTGATCGACCTCGGTTCCACCCGTGAAGTTTTCGTCACGTGAGTTTTGTTGAAACTATAAATGGACGCGACTAGATCGTGCAGAATCCCGTCCCTGTCGTCCTTCCAGGGAGTTTTGTCAGAGTTGTAACGTTTCGAGACCTCGACTAGGCAAGCTTCCAAGCACATTCTTTCGTACTCTGGATACTTCTGGAGTATGTTCCAAACCCCGCCGTATCTAGAAATTTTCAAATCCACCATTATTGCGATCAGCTGATCGATCGGTTGGTTGTTCAGAATTTTGAAGTGAAGAGCCGCCTCGATGATCTGCACGCTGCTGTGCCTCCTAGACAAGAGATCGTTTTTTACGTGAGCACGTAGAATAATGTCCATCACAACCGACCATATCTTCTCATTCGCGCGTGGCATATCGTAGAAGTCCAGCAAAGCCTGTAACACGTCCAACGTGAACCAGCCCTGCTCGTTCTTGTGCCTGTCTCTGATGTATGTTAGAACCTCCAACAGTGCTTGATCGTCGTCGTTGACTCTGCAGCTATAAATCATATGACGCGCCAGATACGCTCTGGCCTCCATTTCCGAATTCTTCGCGATCTCTGCCTTCATCACCGGGATGACCTCGTTGGTAGGCAGATAACACATCCAGAAGTGCGCTGAATCCGTTGTAACGCGCATCAAATCATCTTTCTTCCAGTTGATCTTCACTTGCCGTCTTCTTTCCTCGACCGGTAGCAAACGCATCAGGTCAGCTGTGACCAGTTTCTTGTCGTCCAAAAGACTCTTTCCGTACACTTGATGATAACTGTTTATCAGAAGAGCAAGCTTTTTGTCCTGCGGATAGTAGCTCAAGTACTGCAACATACTGTCCGTGTCGAAAGACTCGGCGTTTGACGGGAACAGTTTTGGAAACATGACCTCTATCTGCGAAACGCTGATCATCTTCAATGGCACAAGGTTTATGAACACCTGAGGATTCCTCAGGAGATGATATTTTCCGTTCTTTAGGAAATAGACGGCTCGTTTCTTGCTCAGTTTCACATGTGGCCGCGATTCACCGTGCTTCTCGTACAGTTCCACGAAGGTGTCTAGACGTTTCTTGATCAACGCCGCAAGAAAATCGCCCATCTCGTAGAGCTCCACTCGATGGATCTTCCTCTGGTTTGGCTGGACGCTCGGCAGGCTCAGCCTGAAGTAACGCACGATGAAATCCGGATTCTTGTGGAATATCGTCTTGACCAGTTTCCGGCTCAACACGATCCGTCTCCTCACGATCGTGTCGTACATAAATACCTCGCCGCAGGCTGGTAGCAAAGGTAACGCCTGCTCCAGATTGTAGGTCTCGGCGACAGCGGTGAAGAACTCCTCCGCGAGTTTTGGCTCTTTCAATCGTGTGGATAGACATTTTATGATCTTTGTCCTGGTGTTCAGAGAGACATACGGGAACAGACAGTTAAAAAAGTACTGAACGTTGGTGAAGGATACGTTGCTCCCGTCGAAAAAGTACTTAGCCTGGAGCGCTTTGTACACCACCGTTATGTCGTCGGACTTTAAAGCTTCTGCGATCACAGCGTAAAGATTCTGGTCTTTTGGATCTTTTTTGTACAGCAATCGCGCTGCCTGTACCCTGATTATGGGCGCCAGCAATCTGGGAACCTTCTCTGAATCGGTCACTTCTTCCAGGCTGTTGCATTCTGATATCCGTTCTTTTATAAGTTTCGCTATCCATTTGTACTTTTCGCCAGGTGTGCCCCCTGGTATGGCCTGAATTGCGTCCAAGTATGGCGTCTGGATCTCCATTTCCTCTTTAATCAACGGTATATGCTGTTAAACAAATACAAGAAAATAAGTTAAAGTCATATTAATTATTCGTGTTAGTTGTATTGTTTCTTAATTTTAATGGTAGAATTTTAGGAAAGAGATCGTTTCGAAGTTTGCTGGGTAAAATTTAATAAGTCGTGAATAAATTCACTCGACATGAATTAAGATACAGTGGTAGAAAGAAAAGATGTTGACATTATCGGAAGTTTCCCGAGGTAATGGGCGGTTACAGTCTTATCTACATATACCGGTATTGTATCGAAAGCATGATTGCATTCAACTCACGATACGTACACAGAATACAATCTTTTTTAACTGTAAAAATGCAAAATTTATTTTATACTTTTTTTTCTCGAAGTTTGCAAGCTTATCGATGTTTTTTTTCAAATAAGTACATATTTTGTTCTATTGCATAGCTCGTGAAAAAATACATTCAGATACGTACTATATCACCTTGAAAACATATGTAGTTATTTGAAAAAAAAACATCAATGACCTTAAAAACAGGATACTGACCACCTAATACCATTCACATTGCGTATAAAATATTTTTTACGTTTTTACAATTAAAAAAGCTATTCGGGGGTCACAATTCAATAAGACACCCTGTATAGTATGATAAATACTTGCAAACGCAAGAGCAAGATTAATTGATCGTAAGAAAATATCTATTTACGTCGAAACGTCGAGTCTTCGTCTTTATTTTCCCAACGATAATGTTTAATCATATCAATCCGAAACAGACACTTTCCATTCGAGGATCAACAAAATAACATTCGAATCGGTATACATATGTATACATTGCAGATGTTATTCATACATACGGTGGGTGCATAAGTTTGAAAAATCTTACTAAAGGTGTCCATTTGCATCGATTAAGAGGTACACAATAGTTGATAAAAACAACAATTCATTATTCGAAGGATGAAGAAGCACACTTATTCAAGTTAAATGAAATAAAATAACAAGATGCCTGAATACCTTTATCTACTGAATCAAGGGGATCGAAACGGTGACGCAGTTGAATCTTGGATCGAAACCAATCACCAGTGTTCCGCGAATAGTAGTTATGTCGCGTTAAAACTAACGGTCACTTTCAATGTTTCTCGTAAATCACCCTACAGATTGACAGTTTCTTCTGGCGGTGTTTCACAGGAAATTTTTATTCGTCCATATTTCGAGATATCACACGGCTGGCTCACGACAAAAGACTGCCGGCTGCTTGCTCTGACAGCAGCAAACTAGATTGGTCGCTGACTCATAGCCGAATCGACACACACGTATATTTTCCCGGCCGGTGTATAGGAAGAGGTTAGGTCCTGCGAGCCAGCAGCGCAACACGATTAGTGGAAACACGTTTAATGGAAACACGTTCGACGTGTTTAGGAAACGTTATTTCGATGTTGTTTCGCGGGTTTTAATCCCTTGTATACTTACCACGCTAGTATTAACACGTTTCTTGTCGAAAAATATCACGAATGTTTTCGTCAAATATCACCAATTGAGCCGCGCGCGACCTTCGCCGGCTTCTGCGCATAGTTATTCGCGCATGTTGAATCTCGTTCGCGTCTATATCTATATAGTACCTTTCTCTCACTCCTGTTTATACAATCGATGAGTACAGGCATGTATCTGGCAGTGACGTGTCGCAACTTTTTCTCATTGTCATTTTCTGAATCGATGACTAATGGTTTTATTTATTTACGTAAATTCAATACTGCCCATTAGTGGCCCATATTAGATGCACTTTATTAAAAGATTAACCAAGTTTGTGCGAAGGAATTATGTATACGTCAGTTGACGAAATTTTTAACTTTATTCGCGTCGATGATTTCTGCCACTTCGATTGGTAGACGATATTCGGGCAGTAGTAATGGTTTTATTGATTGAAAAGATCGTGTATAGAAAAGGGGAAATATTGATTATTCGAGCGATCGATGAGCTCAGGACACGTATAATGATAACTGTTCGCAAGATCAGGTTACGTGATAATTTTTTTAGCCTCGGATAAAAACCTTTGAAAATCGGTAATATATTGGGTACCCAAAGAAGTTTATATGGTCTTTTGTGGTTAAGAACTTCAGGCAACTAGAATTGTTTTGAAATATATTTAATGTATATAATAATACATAATTATATTTACATATTACATGTATAATCAAGTAATTGAAGTGCAGTGAAAGGATTAAGAAATTGCACAAGGTAATTAAAGAAATCAGTGACTCGTTAAAATGCGACTTTATTCTTTTTAGGATCAAAGAACACTGCACTCTCGTGACGCAAATAACGTACATTCCCCAAAATAGTCCTGCTATTTCATTATATTTTTTTGTTCGCAAAATTACATGCTACCCTTTGACTCGAATAAAAAAAAAACATTTACAATTGCGCGTCCGTTACTTGTCGGATCAGTAACAATTAGTTGTAACAATAACAATTGGTAACAAATCGATTCATCACAGTTTGTTTTTCATTCCCTTCCAATTGAAAATACTTTCCGCTGGTTTGATGGACTCCATACGAATCTTCTCATTGATCTCCATGTAATCGTACACATCCCCCTTTTGAATCGGTTTCCAAAGCTCCGTGATCAACTTGGTTGTCATTGGGGTTGGATTTCTGAAATAACGAAGAAAACTATATATCTTATATACAGTTCGTAACAATAGACAAAACATTGTTAGTAATTGTAAACCGAGATCTGTTAATATTTTTTTTTTCAATTTTTCACATTCAAAAATATTCCACTCGTACACCAATAAACGAATGACAATATACCCTATGTTAATTTTTGAAATTATATTTGTCTATTAACTCGTTTTTCCTCAGTTTCGAGACTAATGGAGATATAACAATTAAAAACTAGAGTTTTCGAACGAGGAACCCTTTGAAAAATTCATTGACACTCGTACCCAGTTTTCGCGAAGTCGGTCCACATCTGTGTGAAGTACTCAATGACATCGTAATCCTTGGTTCCGGGCTGCGGTACGGTCATGCCGAAATTTTTTATCAAGTACGGATAAAATAGACACGCCAGGTCGTCCGCGTGCGTCGCTCCTGAAAAAGGGGGGCAAAAAAACAAAAATCAATCAATCGATATCAAGGCGAACTCCAAACTCTTCTCTCTGCGATATTATCGTTAGAACTGCGGATGTTTATAAACAATATCCATTGGAATAATTTTCAAAGCTTGAAGTAACGACAGAAATTCGATAGCCTCATTAACCCTTTCGTTGTTCAATAAAATTGCGAAATATAGTCCAAAAATGTTCCAATTTTTTTATCACTTAATATAGTCCCATTTGTCATCAAAGTAAAGAAGAATTATATTTTAAATGTATTTGTACGTTACTTGTCGAAATATTGTAGTAATTACTCGATGTATGGTACATTTGGAAGCAGAGTATACAAAGTCCAACGTTGCACTATTTACAATAAGATATAATCGACTTTCATTCACTCTATGAATAACTGCGACAACGTTGCTCTATCGTAAACAACTTAGTCACCTTTATTTTGCCCAAAGTCCGAATTCCTACTTACTCATCCTGTACTAAGGTTCACAAGTATCATTTCCCTATCATTAGACCTAATTCAGACACAGACTTGAGAACTCCGAAACGTCTACAGGGGGTGGGGGACGGTCAGGGTGACCTTGACAATGTATCTCAAGGTCATCGGTCATTTTACTTATCAATACTACTAAAGTACGATACTAAATGTTTTTTGCCAACAACTTTTTAATAAAAAAAAATGGTCGACGGCTAAAACTTCTTGAGGGTCACTCAGAAGAGTGTCAGCAACACATGTCAAGGTCATCTGCATCCCCTAAACGTAACTTTCACCCGAACAACTCGTATCAGAGGATTGTTTTCACACCATAAAATCGACTAAGTTTCCTCTGTACTTTTCGAGTCAACTCGTACTGCTTAAATCAGGGCGATCGTGCATACCTGGTAAGCTCATCTTGCATTGGGTTTTCATTAACGAGAACTCCTTGTCGTAGCAGAACTTGTAAAGGTAGGTGGTGACGTTCTTCTCGGTTTGATATCTGAGCACATCGTAGATACCTCGTATGAACATCATGTCGCTCATATAGTCCGCGTAAAGCTGCATGGTCCCCTCGTCGATCGGTTTATCGGCGAAGTAAAGCTGTTTCAGGAACTGATGCGTGATACCCTCTTTGTTCAACTCCTCCTCGATCTCCGGGTGCACGACTTGCTTGAAGTCATTGTTCACCTTCCCCAGTACTTTAGCGATATCTGGATTTAGTACGTCTATAAGTAACAAGTAACTGCACTTGAATCATGGAATTTTGCATCGTGGCTCTGTATACACGAGTCCATAGAGGCTGAGTAAAATCGACAGAATTCTGCCAGACACCGATTAAATCGCTCGAATACACAAGATATCGTCTGGAAAATATATCGTAAGCATGAGAATAAAAAAATAAATTACACACAGAGAAATGAATAATATTTACTGAATGAGACTGAGAGTAGTCAGTCGACAATATTATTAGTAGTAACACATTGTTGTTGTTAACATATGTGTGTTAATGGACGTGTTTAATGATCGTGAGCAACGATTCGATTTGAAGAATGGCAGACATTCTGATGTTTCGAGACATGTAAAAATGATTTTCAACAGTCTCATATGAATCACAATGAACTGACATGGAACACAGTCAATCTTACTTCCAACAAAGAGGCTACCCTCGTTGTCGTTGTAACCCAACAGGAATGGCACTTTCACGCCATCCTTCGCCATGATCGCTGGATGCTGCGGCAAGAACGGATTCGGGGACTTGTCGTCGATAGACGGACCGAATGTTCCGATCAAAACATGCGAACCCTGTGATACAAAGTAAATATTAATTATTCTCTTTAGTAACAAATTATTACGATATTAGAGGCGGTTCCATTCCATCTTGATTAGTCGAAATATGTACGCCATAGTTTCCCAAACTTTTTTGGCTGACCGTCGCCTTTTCAGAATTTTTTTATCGTTCGGCGCTCCCTCTGAGTAAACTGTTTTTATTATTGAAATTTCCAAGTGTAGTTGTGCGTGTAATCTTGGAATCTTAAAAAGTTAAATTGAAAATAAAGAAAATAAACTAACCAGAACGCCCTCCAATAGATCTCAACGCCCACTTTGGGAACCTATGATGTACACCAGGCACGGTGAACCTATGGCACGTACGAAAATTTTGCTGGCACGTGAACCATTTACCGGTGATATCATTTTACATGCTTATAAATTATTCAGATTCTTTTCAATTATTACAATACGTAATTCTGTGTTCACTTTTTATGAAATTCTATGTTAATTTTCAAATTGTTTCTATAAAATTCCGCAATAATCGATTTTTTATTGAATTTTTATTTATAAATTTTTGGCACCCGCACATAAAAAGGTTCGCCACCACTGCTGTACACTATAAATTCTCACTGCGATATGTCTGTTACAGATAATATCGGTGAAAATATTTCCAATCGGTATAATTATTCACCGCAGAAATAGGCAAATTAACAGAAACTATTTCGCTGACGTGTTATTGCAGCAGTAAATACCATCTTAATGGCCCTGCGTGTAATTGAATATATTTACCATTCAATTGGATGAAATTACCTCGCAGCGATTGACAGGAATTCCCACCCTGTTATACTGTCGGAATATTCATAGGGTACGAGGAAAGTTACACAGCCGTTCGATAATATAATTTGCAATAGTTCGAAAACGACTACAAACGCAAAGGAAACTTTGCTTATAGAAAGATCCCCATTCTTTATAGACATTCTTATTTCCCGTTTTAAAGCAATTTGGTTTAACTATATATTTTTATGTTAATAGAAACACGTATACAGGGTGTCCCACTTAACGTTAGTACCTTCAATATCTCGCTTGTTTTTAAGGATACAAAAAAAGGAAGGAGCAAATACTATGATAAGCAAAAATTTTTCTCAAGGTCATATTTTTCGAAATTTCAAGATCAGCTATGTTTCTTTTAATAGGATTATATATTTTTATCAGCGTGGCGTAATAGTTGAGACCAAGACCAATCCAATGATCTATAATAGCGTGACCTTCATGTGACCTTGAATACAAAAAACCCACAAATGTATGAGAGTAGATTGAAATAATAAGATAACTATGATAGAAGGATCAGTGCAAAAATGTATCGAAGTTGATAGACACCACTTTGAGTATTTATTAAAATAAATTTCCTGCAAATCCGAAGCAAGTGAAATACTAAAGATGGTTACGTTAAATGGGACACCCTGTATACGTTCGTATTCCTCAAATAGCAATTTTTTCGATATGAAAATCTCACTGTTAACAGGAAAAAGAATTTGGCACGAAAATCCAAATGAAAGGGAACAGTTAGAGGTTTCAACTTTTCGTTGAATAGAAGCTAGAATAACGCGGCGTCTTTCGAATCCAAAGCTCGTTTCATTCGTGTACAAGTTCTCACGCGAATATATTGTTCCATCTTCAACGGACTTTGCTTCTGTAAGGAGAGAATCTGGCTGCACAACGACGACTTTTCACCCGCCCTCAAGCACACTCGATATTAATCTATTATGAGGTTCGTTCTTAGAACATTCCGTTCGACAGAGGATCCAACGTCGTTTCGATGCCAAGTTAAAATTGAACTGTTCCAAACAAAGACACGACGTATCGATTCATAGCAGATAGATATTGCCATTCAGGCTCTTAGGCATTTGAGCCGTGTTCATTTGGAAAATTATCCGAATGCTATGCAAGCCTGGAATCTAGCCTCATTAGAAGCTTGATGATCACTGAAACTGATAGTCCCTAATTGATTTGGTTCACCGATCCACTGAAACTTATACCGATCAGTATACCTCGTTAGACCCCTAATGAAGCTACACTATCGCTCCATAAGTATTAGGGCACCTGATTAGTATAAGAAAAATGTGATTTTTCGCAAAAATAATATACTTTAGAACAGTGTTTCACAACAATAATTTGAATATTTTTGGGGGCAATTAGAAAACCATTAGCATTCGTCACCCCATCGACAACAAATTTACCTATAGTCTTTGTTATTTGAATTACTAATGTTGAACTTTTTCGGAACGTTGGTGGACCCATTCGATGAGATATAGTTTCTTAAGCTGCGTCTACACTGTGTAACGTAACATGTTATATAGCAAAGTTATAACACTTGTTAGAAAAACAGAAAGAGAAATGTTATATAACGTGATGTTACATGCATTTTTCGTGTTATATAGCAAGTTATATGTTATCCATCTAGTGTGACGCCATTATTAACAACGAAAGGCGAAATCTTATACAAATTTGTTACAGACTTGCCTGAAAGGTATAGACTTGTAACAAGTTATAAAAATATGCTGTATAGCAAGGTTATACAACAATTTGTTTTATAACACTGATTTGCTACATAGTGTAGACGCAGCTTTATCCATCTAGTGTAACGCCATTATTAATAATGAGTCGCGAAATCTTATTCAAATTTGTTACAGACTTGCCTGAAAGGTATAGTCTTGTAACAAGTTATAAAAATATGCTGTATAGCAAGGTTATACAACAATTTGTTTTATAACACTGATTTGCTACATAGTGTAGACGCAGCTTTATCCATCTAGTGTAACGCCATTATTAATAATGAGTCGCGAAATCTTATTCAAATTTGTTACAGACTTGCCTGAAAGGTATAGTCTTGTAACAAGTTATAAAAATATGCTGTATAGCAAGGTTATACAACAATTTGTTTTATAACACTGATTTGCTACATAGTGTAGACGCAGCTTTATCCATCTAGTGTAACGCCATTATTAATAATGAGTCGCGAAATCTTATTCAAATTTGTTACAGACTTGCCTGAAAGGTATAGTCTTGTAACAAGTTATAAAAATATGCTGTATAGCAAGGTTATACAACAATTTGTTTTATAACACTGATTTGCTATATAGTGTAGACGCAGCTTTAGACTGTTTCGAATCCTGGAACTCGTTTCATCCACAGAGACCTGTTTCACACGCGACTATCGTTCAAGAAGTTTTACCTCTTGCTTAAGGACAGTGAGCTGCGCCTTCACAAGCTGCCTCGCATCTGCTGCTATCAGGAACTCATATAGTTCCTGTGTATCGGTGATCTGTTTGCCCAGACAGGCGGCCACCTTAAACGCGTAACTGGCTGGTTTTTTAGTCACATAAGCCCATGGATTCAACGCGACACCGCTCTGCGCGATCGCCTTGTGGAACAGTCCTGCGAACAGAAGAAACAATTTCGATGTTCCAAACGGTTGGTGATATTTCGGGGGAGGGGGGGGGGGACTGGGTGGAAAGATAAATCGGGTTGAAAGGACGTGCTTCGAGTTTGGCGCGCAATGGGACGAAAGTAACAGGCACGAATTTTTTTACGACTTCACTCTCAAGAATTACTTTACATAATTTCGATTATGTGAACTTTGAGTACACAGGCTAAATCGTTACTGACATATTTTCATGTCAGTATGTAAGGTGTCCCACTAATTATGAATATTAAATTTATGATCCCATCGGTTTTGAAGGTACTAGAAAATGTTTGAAACGGATATTGCATGGTTCAAAAACCTTAGAGGGGTCCTTTTTAATCACCAGCTGAAGGTCCTTGAACCATTTAACTTCCTTTGGTTATTTTTTTTCGTATCTTCAATATCAATGAAATAGTTTATACAATAGTAAATTACATAATACTATTATTTAACGTTATCTTCGTGTTAAAAATTTTACATTATAACTTTCTAACAGCACATTTTCTTTACCAATGTGTATAATGATACTTTTTCTGATTTTTACCCATACAACATTCTGTTGGACGTTTTATTTGATAGGGGACTGTCTACAAATTTTAGGCGAGGTTGATTTGTGATTCGAGAATTTATTAAAGCAATTTAATGGAACAGACGCGACTGATTTAGATGAACCCAAATATTGAAAAATTGTACCTTGTTCAACCAGTGGAGAGATAGATAAATAATGCACGGAAGCACCGCCAGCACTTTCTCCAAATATCGTGACGTTGTCAGGATCCCCGCCGAAGTTCGAGATATTATCCTTAACCCATCTCAGCGCCATAACTTGGTCCTTCAGGCCTTGATTGCCTGGGGCGATCTCGTTCTCCAGATTGAGAAAACCTGTGAAGCGATCGCCAAAACGATACTTAACCAAATTACAAGAAGCAGAAGCACGTTTAACGCGTCATTTATCACAACTGTTATCGCTAGATCGCGGATTCTATGAAATTACATTTTACTAAAGGGGAACTACAATGAAACGATTCGGAATTTAGTTCATGTACATTTATGATATTGCACAGAATGAAATGGAAACTCGATTAAAATTTAATACAGACTTTATCCACTTCTTCCTAACAATAATAAGTTCCTACTCGATTCCTTTCTTAACGTATGAACTGCAACGTCATCCGTTAATAACAACTTTGAATATTATAAATAGAATATTAACAATTTATAAATTACTAATTTCTTGACTTTCATATCGTACGAAAAGTTTGAAATTATTTGAGATTATTGGCAACGACGCGATAAAATTCATTAGACTGTCACCGAACCATCGGCCATACCCACCCAAGATGCCCACTCTGTAATTAATCGTGACCAGAACAATGTCCTTCCGGATTAGATAATCGGGCCCGTAGATATCGCTGTTGCCGTTCCCGTACATGAACCCGCCACCATGGATCCACACCATCACCGCACGTTTCGAGCCCGGTTCGATCGTCGGCGTGTACACGTTCAGGTAGAGGCAATCGTCATCGCCAATTATGTCGCGGACGAGTAGATCCATCTGGGCGCAGATGCCGCCGAACTTCGTGCAATCCCTCACGCCGGTCCATGATGTCGGTGGCTGAGGATCCTGAACGAAACCAAAATAAAAAATAATTATTAGCAGTTAAAACCAAATTTTAATTGCTAATAATTATTTTTCGTAAACAAATTCAGACATTCGTGGTATTTATCATTGAATTTCGATTCTTGTCTCGAATTCTCTGTTAATCGGATGCCATGTTTTTTTTTTGGAAGTATTAGACACCATAATCCTCCAAATTTCACGTGGTATTAGATCTCTACAGACGAAATTGAACAATTTTCTGTATATTTTGTACCGTTCTGAGGGAACAATCAAATCTGACCGTTAATACAATAATTAAATTAATCGCAATTTTTGCTTCTGGAAAACCTCATTCGATATAAATAATTATGGTAATTCAAAGCTTCTGTACTTAATGTATTAATCATTTATTTGAATCTTTATATTTTCGAAACGTTAGAGGTTTCAAAGCCGTTTAATCGATACAACCTATTCCTAAATTAAATGTTTAGTCTGTGCACAACGAATAACCTTTAAAATATTTAATCCGAACGCGGTTACTTGATGGAAACGTTCGAGCAGCGGCCACGATACGCGGATAATTATAAGCTTCGACGGTATGCTCGACTAATTAGCCATGTATTAATATTCTCTTTCACTATATGTATGTAGACATTTGAATATCGCGCGGAATTTATGAAGCCGCGGCATTGAACCATAAATTTCCATTGAATTTCCCCTTTGAACACGTTGCCGTGGAATAATCGACGAGTTAATCGATCAGGTGATGACAATCGGTATGTTTTTCTCCATGTTTTAAATGACGTTCAGATTAAATAATTTTTAATTACATGATGCCATCGAGTCCAGACGATAACCGTGAAGACTTTCGATTAGATAGTAGCACACCAATATTTGAACCGTCATGCTTTCGTATAGATTTAGATAACAGGCTGTGGTATATTTCTAGAATCGGTTATCATTTCGATGTCATGCTGATAGCATCTACTTATCGTAGTATAGTAGTACATTGACGTAAACTAACTGGTTTAGTATTTCTAGTAAGTATTATTCAAAGTAACAGCCGTGATTTATCGGAAATTTTGTGAAACCTTTTCTTCAATATGTATAAATTTACGTAATTTAACATATTCGACACGGTATCGATGGCAGGCCAAAGTCAACTAGATAGTCGATAAACACTGTGGTACTCGAGGACGAAATAACTCACGTTAAATTCGGTTGATTACGACAACTTATTGTTAGACCTGACTCGTATTATCTATTAGAATTAATTTTTTATGAAACTCTAGGCCGGACAAGCTTAGCCTTCAGATGCTTTTCATTGTTACCTATAAATAAACTATTATCGTCGAATGACTTGACCGTTTATTCAGAATACAGAGAAAAGTGTTCTAGTTTTGTTAAATAACATCAGCTGTATTTAAATTAGGCTCGATAGCAAAAAATTGAATCGAACAGATATATGTATACGACATCGAGCAAAGTAGACAGACGTGTGAACGAGTTCATTAGCTCCGCATAGTTGCTGCTGCACATGTGTCTACCATGTGTACGTTACTCACCAGCGAATACGCTCATAGAGTAGCGATAGGTCAGCGGATTATTCGCAGCATTCGACTTTCTCGTGCTTGAACCAGTTCAAATTGTTCGAACTTGTGCCTGAACATGTTTGAATTATTCGAACGTGTCAAGCTTGAATAAATTTAAATTGTTCGATCTTCTCATGCTTGAGCAAGTTGAAACTGTTCGAATAATTCGTGTTTAAATAACTTCGAACTGTTTGTACTTGTCCTGCTTGAGTAAATTCGAACTGTTTGAACTTTTCATGCTTGAATGAATTTGAATTGTTCGAACTTCTGGTACTTGAGTAAGTTCGAACTGTTCGAACTCCTCATGCTTGAATAAATTCGAACTGCTCGAATGTTTCGTCTTGGAATAAATGCCAACTGTTCGATACGTGTCTTACTTGAATAAATTTGAACTATTCGAATTCTTAGTGCTTGAATAAATTGAAACTGTTCGTACTTCTCGTGCTTGAATAAATTCGAACCATTCGTATTTCTCATGCTTGAATAGCTTCAAACTATTCGAACTTTCCATCCTTGAATAAAAACGAACTATTCGAACTTCTCGTGGTTCAAGTAATCCAAACTATACGCGCTTCGAACGCATTGTTCACGTGAACATATGGGCTCGAACACGTTCCAAATTGCCTATTCACAGATCCACCAGTACACATGAGGATCAACGACAATTAAAGTAGCTCCATATTTCCGTCTATTAACTTGATTGCAACGACCTTGGTGTCTGTTTCCTAAAACGCCTGTACATCAAATGTTTCATAACCGTCGTTACATCATATAAGATAGCACACTTAAGAGCAATCGTGTTGTTAATTCTTACCGTTTTATGCTGCCGTAACAATTGAGTTACAAGAAAAAGTCTTGAAATGAACAATACATATTCTAGCTCGTTTGGTTAAGGTTTAAGTGAATGTGATTAGTCGAATGTGACACGTTCGCGTGTGTACGGTGACAGTAGAATTACTCGGTGTCGCTCGAACGACAGTATAGTGTATTCACCTTGAACCTGAACGGGCCGGTCGGTGGTCTCGCGTACGGGAGCCCGCGGAACGCGAGGAATTCACCGCCGTAGACGTTCTCCTCGACGCTACCCCGCACCAGTCCCTGTTTTACGGGCACCACCGGATCTCTGCGCGCCATGTGACGGTTTAAACGTTCGCCGGTCGCAGAAACGATATCAACTGATCCATACCGCGACGGACTCTAGCCGTTAGCTCCGCTGTTCCAATATGTCGAAAGGTCCCGCGCCAACCGACCACGTGGTGGGGGAACCAACGAAACGGTGAAACTCCAAGTAGACATTATGGTCGCTCTGTCACTGCTACAGCGATGGGACTGAATGACTCGCGAGATTCACCTGGTCCCTCTCGAGAAATCTTGTTGATTTTTAATAGGCGTCATGTATGTGTGACACAAATATTTTTAAATCAACCTAGTTTGTTTGATAGAAGTAGAATGTACTTTGCAATATTCACCTATATTTCATGGTATTTAGTATTACTGTGTTTTGTAGAGTAAATCCTTGATGAGTGTTCGAACTAATGGCCATATATGGTTAAAACAAATATCATTGGCTTCAGAGTGTTCATGTGTCACAACAAGAGTTTGTAATCTTTATCGATCCGATAGAAATAGATGTACGTTTATCGTTGGTATTTCTAGTGTTAATCGTTGATTTCGAACGGCCGTTTCAGGTGAGGTTTGTGGTCCAAAGTATTACAGGTGTACTAATAAGTAACCCACTGTGTTTTTAAAGTATGAAACGGTATATCTTAACTTGAAAATATCTTTTCGAATCCGAATTGGGGAAAAATGCTTGAAAATAGTTTCCAATACGAATAAGATAGTATACATCATTGATTCCCATAGAAGCTGGTCGATCCATTTCGTCACAGAAATGGTGGACTTACTTATCGGTACACCTAATACTTTGGAACTTCGTAATGAAGTTCGTGATGCGAATGATGTTGCTCGTTTCTGTGATTATTAAGATCACTGAATGAAACAAATGGTACATTTGGAATTGATTGTTATTCATGAGTACAGATCGAATTCGATCCCATCTCTATTTGTCTGTAACGGGACGGGTACTATGGTTCACTAAGCATGACGCTGCGGAATTCTTACGGAGATATATTTACCGGAGATTCAAGGTTGACTCACGCTTGACTGGCTGTCTAATACCGAGTAAAATAATAGATTAATCATTGGTGTAAGATGACACAACTAAATGGGAAATCTTCTATTAATTCTTACTCGCAAACTGGAAAATGGAGAAAGTGGAATTTGAAGAGTCTTTGGAGACGTCTGTTATTATAGAAAACACAGATATTGGTAATATCTTTCTTTCGTATTTTTTTTTAATTTAGAGAAGTTTTTGAAGAATTCGGATCACGATTCGGTTGGAAGAAGGCAGGGTTCAAATACGACCGGATGTGCCTGACTGTTACCTACTCCTTCTACTTGTAAGAAATACAGACGTCGGTCTAGTATTTATTTTCCTTTGGTGTTACTTGGTAACACTGCCATTATTATAATTTTTTATTTTCGATTTCTTTCTGTTCTATACCACATACTATATTACGTATGTAAGTCAATACATAAAATTTCACATTGTCCATAACTTCCTTCGAATGATTAGCCCAACTACAAAATTTATACAGTAATTTTTACATTATTTATTCTGTTTAGATGTACCACTAACTTACACTCCTCAAGTAATTTTTCAAATGGTAAATCAATAATTATTCCAAATTTTATTTCACTTTATTATATTTAAATAATTTATCTCCACTTTTAAAATCCTGATTGCAAGTCTTTCTGCAATTTTTATCAGAACAGTAAAGTAAGATATTTGACTTCCTTGATAAGAATTATGATAAAAGAAAGATCGTAATTAAATTAACAGTTTATAATGATGTTACAAGTATGTCGTTTTTTTTTCAAGCGTCGGTAATTGAAGCTCTTAACGTAATACATATATCTGAAGAAATATTAATTGCTTGACTTATTCGTTTAAACGCATATTTGTTCGAGCTAATCTTAGTCGCAAAATTGCTGTTCACACTTTAGCAAACTGTTCGCAATAAGAGTCGTCTCCGAGGCCTGTCTAGCGAGAATATTTCTTTTGCTCGAAAAAGAAAAAGGAATTTTACCCGCGAGCGTCGTTTCGCCCCGTTTTGCGGCGAGATCTACAGCCATCAGATTTCGTCCACGAACACGAAGTCGAGCTACTTTGTCATCCAAAATGCTTCCTTCACTCGAGGTCGTAAAGACAAAATGTGTTCCATTCGTAGATGATGCTTTCTCAGGGGACCAGAAAATGCACCTAACCCGCTTACAATGTCTAACAATAGTGACACGAGTTTACTGAACACGTAAAAATGAACGCAACGCGATAAGACCTTAGGCTGCGTTTCCACGTGAGTGCACTTATCGAGAGTAAACTGTCGCGCCTGGTGTATGTATATCTACTACGACGAAGAGTAAAATTTCGTGAATTTTATTTTGAAGAATAAAAGCTGCAACTATTAGAGGATAATACTACGTCTCCACGTGAGATTACAGAAGACACTTGTATTCTGTTTCATAACTTTTAATCGTCTGGCTAAAGACGATTTCAATAGTTCGCCAGGATAGGTGAATATTTTTGTTAAAAAAAAGGGATTCATACACAAATGTTGGTTTTAAAAATATAAAGAATATATAAAAGTAATCAAATTCTGTACCTTTATTTGTTAAGTCTTCGACCAGATTGCGTTCTAGAACAGATGTCTGTTGAAAGCTCCGAAACGTGGATTGATTTATCGCGGGTCCAACCCCCTAACCGGATTATTTAAATTCCTCACCCTCTGCAGCGAGCCAGTTTTCTTCACGTAAAAATATTTCCCGACTCTGTGAAAACACGGCCTTTTAGAAAATTAATTTGCAGTTAATAAACAATGAAAATCGTTGCAGTCTCTCTGGAAACTTAATTTTCTTTTCGGTTCCTGTATTAAACCCGAGTTCGGTAATAAAATATCGCGCGAAATGTTAATTTTTGAAGCAGTTTATTCTTTCTTTTCGTTCATATTTGTAATTCAATTACATTCCATTTCCTCGGAGCCGTCGATCGTTCGTTTAATATTCCCTCTTGGGTCTCGACTCCGACTAAGTAAAAGGAAAATCGATTTTTCACCGGTCCATGTATAATATTGAAAATTGCCGTAATATCCTAGCGCTATTACTTCTAATGGAACTTTTGTGATAAGCCGATCTTGCGGTATAATTATGTAGCATCGACCAATAACGTTAATTTTCATATACACCATGCAAAATTTTAATATTTTCATTGAATATTCTTACGTTAAATGTCAATTAGTTTAATTTAAAACGCCAACTTTCGTGGTTACCTAATAGTAAAATTATAGTAATCGAAGACATAATAAACAAAAAAAGAGAAACTTATCTCCAAGCTTAGGGAAAAGGCGTCTTATATGTCAGGGTGTGAAATAAAGGATATTTTTCGCCTACACAATGGATCGTGCAACGTGAGGTAAAACGTGAACATTTCCCCGCTGTCCTCCTGACAGCGCCAGTCACGTCCAACGACGGGTTTAAACTGATCTTATCCTCGACTTCTGTCTCCAGAACAGAATATGTACACCTAGAAAATGCTCGGTCGTTCGGATGAAAATGCGCGGGAGAGAGAAGGAACAGACACCAAGCATCCAGGAAAAATCGATGGAACACGAGCAACCAGATAGAGCTATCCGTTTTCCGTTCCTTTCGTTGATCCCGCATTCTGTTTCCCCCTTTCTTTCGAGGTTAATTCACGACATCCAATGTCACAGTATTCGATTTCGTCATAAACAGCCAGATCGGACCGCCGCCAGCGGAGAAATTTCTGGCAACGTGGTTACCTTGGAGGAATACCTGTTACTACATTTCATGGTTCCAGCGTCTGGGTTTCTGATTGTCGTACAGGAATTTGATTCCCTTTTCCGATTTACCTTTGATAAACTTATACTGTCGTACAGAACCCAGGCCACAATTTTATAGTTTTTGCGAAGTAAACAAGTGAATTTAAAATAGAAAAGATCGCAGAATACAGACATACTTTCTCTAATTTTGAAGCCTTCCCAAAATAAAAATATATTAAATATTTTTGCACTGTAAAAATAAATTTATGTACGAAACAAAAAGTTAGTTAAAAAGAACGATCTTCTATGGTTGAAATGAAAGGGAAGTTAAGTTTCTATCTTTAATAGTTACGGAGATAAAAATTCTTTTGCGAAGATTGTTTTCGTAAAAATCGATGAGAATTTTCAACATTACTGTCTGTAATGATATTGACTGATTTATATTTTTTACACAGTTTCGAAATCAACAACACGATGACTTAAACTTCTCGTGTTTTTACATGGACCATAACATATGTCAGTTAGAACAAAATTCGAGAAATCGTGTGTAAAAGTGATCCGCTTGGCGTGGAATGACCCAAACTGACAATACTGTTTAAATTCAAAGCATCTTTCTACCAACAAGGACAAATATCTCTGGAACAGCACATGCCTCTGATTCCCTCGAAAATAAGTAATGAATTTGACACAATATATATAGTAGATTACTTATTGGTTCACCTATTACTTTGGGCCACTTTTATTACTTCATACATAGTACCATAAACGTTCTCCATCGAGTTTCAATATCCCCCAAATCAGTGTTTCTGTGCCCACTTTAATCCGGTAAGTGAAACAAAATTAAGCAAAAACTACAATAAATTAATAACATCCAATTTAATCATTTACATTTCTTAAGGTTACAGTTGCCCGCTCGAATTATGCCTTCTTCAATTTCGACCCGTTGCTAAAAACGGTTATCCATTACTGTCCTGAACAATATTCATGAATCCAGACTTCCAGCAATTTCGTAACGCCTCGTAACATTCACCGCATAGTCGTTAAGTCTCCTGATACAAGTTACGAGCGGGAGTGCACTACTCTGCCTAATTTCGTCAGAATCCTGTCGCGCGCGACGGTTAGGTGATCCTCCTTGTTAGTATGATAAGCCTTTGATTCTATTGGTTCGCATCAATCGCCGCAATGTGGCGCCTCACCCCCCTCTAACCGCTGCGACTATAAACTCTTTGACGCTCGGCTTGTATCCGCGGTTGAAACGCGGGAAAGCAATTTGCGACGGCCCAGGGCC